GTGTGTGTGTGTGTGTGTGTGTGTGTGTGTGTGTGTGTGTGTGTGTGCGTGTATACTTGTTGGTTGACTATAAGATTTAACCATGCATGGAATGCGTTTCTGTCATTGTTTGTTTTCTCGTTTCCTACTTTTATATTCTTCATGTTGTGTGTTTATGTTCGTTTATCTGCGCATTGTCATTCTCAGTATTAACTCTAGAATATGAAAAAAAAAAAAAAAAAACATCTGTCTATAAAAAGCAAAAGATCAGTGTTAGGCATCTATTAATAGCACATCATATGCTTGTATGTTGTTACCGGAAAAGACTCGATTTGAAAATTTCCGTGTTGTTTTCCGTTTGTGGCGTCGCATATTTTTAGCTATTTTTTATACAAATGTCCCCCTAGGATAACAAAAAAAAACCAAATAAAGATCATTTGCATTTTTTATGTGTGAAGAAAAAAAAAGAAAATCGTCAATAGAATTCTTTTATTTCTTATTCTAGTTTATTTATTAAATACATGTCTTCCAAATCGATTGTGGAACGTGTTCCACCATCAAATTTGAGATCTTCATCGAATGATACGCTTTTAAAACCTGTAACATTATTAAATGCACAAGCTCAACAGATATTATCGAAAATGACAATTCCAAAAGTACTTGTCCTTTATACAGGTTGGCATTAGATGATTTCTTATTTTCATTTGTCCCCTATCCCTCCGCTCCTAAAAAAAAGGAAAAGAATAGAAACAAAGAATAACTTATTATTGCTTTAGGCGGTACGATTGGTATGAAAGTATTACGTAATGCATATGAACCCGTACCAAATTTTTTACTTTCTGCATTACGTGATATGAATATTATGCATGATATTAAATTTGCCGAAACAATGACAGAAATTGATCCCGAAAAATCTTTTCTTTATTTACCGTTAAGTACATTCATACGTGTTTAACAATAAATTCTATGCAATTATCTTCTTCTTAGACTTGTAAATGAAGAATGGATTGCATATTTTATTAAAGAATATTATCCATTACTTGACTCAACGAATATGACATTTGATAATTATATTCGTATTGCACTTGATATTAAAGCAAGAAGAAAATTTTAATAAAGAAAATAAATCTCTAGATATTTGTTTTTTTTTCTTTCATCAAGGAACTTTATAATTTATTCGATGGATTCGTTAGTAAGTTAATTATAGATTATTTCAATTAAGTTTCATTTTTGTTTTTATTTTATTTAGTTCTCCATGGTGTAAGAGAAGAAATAATACAATAAATAATGATTAATTTATAACTTTGAAATAGACCGATACCATGAGTTATACAGCAGCAGCTCTTTCATTTATGTTTGAAAATCTTTCAAAACCAATTGTACTTACTGGATCACAAGTAGATGAAATAGACTTTGTTGTATATTCAAGATAATATTATTATTATTTTCTTTTAGATTCCGATCTTCGAGACACGAAGTGATGGTCGGGACAATCTTATTGGCAGCTTACTTATAGCAGGACAATATCATATTCCAGAGGTTATTTACATTAGAAAAAAAAAAAGAAAATAATGAAAGATTTTATTTGACCATTTCAAGGTTACTCTTTATTTTCGAAACCAACTTTATCGGGGTAATCGTGTAACAAAAACCGATTGTGAAGGTTTAAATGCATTTGAATCACATAATTTTCCAACATTGGCAGAATTTCGAACTAAAATTCAAGGTAAAAACTACAGTAGTGGAAAAAGTCTCTCTCTTCCCGTATTTCGACTATCACACATGCTATAGCTCGGAAAATTTGTGCGCACATACTCCACTAAGAATGTCAATTTGAAACACGTGCTAATCTTGATTGTTCAAATGGAACAAGATTTATGATGGATTACACTTATTTATTCTTTTAACTTCATAGTTCTGAAAAAGAAGAATTTTATGTGTCGATTCATTCTTCATTATTTAATGGCTTGTTCTAGTTATCTATCGTATTAATTTTATCGAAATTCATCAATCTTTCCCAAAAAAAAAAGTATCTGCTAGTTTTTTGAGATCATAACTCAGTAATAGTTCAGTGAATCTAGGTGAAACTTGTACATAAGTTTTGTTTGTTGTTGGGCATAATTGCCTAGAAATTTCAAAAAAAAGATCTTCCATTAAATGAATATATCATTCCGAATGCAGGGGACTCAGAGGTATGTGAAGACAACAATCTTCGATTAAATTATCTAATCTTTTGACTAAAATAAAGATCATAAATTTGGTTCTACTCACACGCTAAAATATCAAGAATTAGTCATGTACTTTATTATATGTAACAAAAAAATTAGTAGACAATCTTTTTTCAAACTAAAAACTTGAAGCAAAGATAGGCGTTCTTCATCATAATTCTTGTTGTATCGAAGCAATCGAGACGACTTCGTGCCTTTAAACTAGACTTTTAGTGCAATATATGCATACAAATTTTCAGACGTTCAGTATGTATTGTAGTCGAGATATGAAGGTGAGAGATTTTTGTTCACTACTGTGTGTTTGCTATCGAACAAATCCAAACATAATTTATCTTTTTTTTTTCTTAAGTTAAATGGGATTTAATTTTCGATCGATCATCTGAAGGTCCATTTAATGTTCATACAAATTTAAATCGAAATGTTTCACTTCTTCGTCTTTTTCCTGGCATAACATATTTAACAGTCCGTCAATTTCTTGAACCACCGATTCAAGGTGTTGTTTTACAAACATATGGAGCTGGAAATTTACCAACAAATCGACCAGATTTAATTGAAGAATTACGTAAAGCAAGTGAACGTGGTGTTCTTCTTGTTAATTGTACACAATGTGCAAAAGGAAGTGTTCATTATGCTTATGAAAGTGCAACATCATTACAAACAATAGGTGTTTGTGTAGGATCAGACATGACAATTGAAGCTGCTTTAATGAAAGTAAATAATATTGTTTTTCAAATAATATAGTAAAATATTTTTTTTTTTGCTTATATTTAGTTATCATATGTCCTTGGTAAATATTCGTCGGATATGAAAATAATGAAAATGAAAATGGCTGAATGTTTACGAGGTGAAATGTCTGCAGATGCAAGTAAAATAAAATGTCCAACAATAAGTCTTGATTGGATAATAAATGCAACCAATGATGAATCGAATGAGGTTTTCATTTATTTCTATAGTGTTGTATTCTGAACAATTTGTTGTTTTTTTGTTGTTTACTTATTTAAGGAATCAGCTCATTTTCGTCAATCATTATTACCTTGGTTAATTGCAACATGTGCTCAAGCGGATGATATAACTACTTTAAATCATGTACATCAAGTTCAAACCGGTATTAAATTTAATGTTATATTACCATGCGGTTCAATGCCACTTCATGTTTGCGCTAAATATGGTGCAATAAAATGTGCTGATTTACTTCTTCGTATTACACATAATGAAAATCCGATTGTTAATGAACCTGATCAAGTTGGTTTTACAGCACTTTTTTATGCTATTCTTCAAAAGAACGAAGCTATGATTGAATTATTAATTCGTAATGGTGCAAAATTAACATCAACATTAAAACCAAGTGAAATTGGAATGTATTTATGTAATTGTGTTAAAAATAATCTAGTTGATCAATTAAAAGCATGGCATAAAGCAGGAGCAAATCTTGATCAAACTGATTATGATGGTCGAACACCACTTTTATTGGTAAATTATTTATTCTATTTTATTATAAAATTAATTATCTTTTTCATTCTTTTTTTTTTCTTAGGCTGTAAATTATAATTCTATTGATTGTATTCATTATTTATTAAATAATGGTGATGTCGATATCTCATGGTCTGATAGTCGTGGTATGACACCAATGCAAATTGCTAAACAACGTGGTTTTGACAGTATTGTTCAACTACTATCGTCCTATGCAAAAAATCCATAAAAAAAAAACTCATTTTATTCTATGACATATTGCTCAAATCTCATGATTTTTACTCTGTATTTTTGTTAGATATATATGCACGTGTGTATTTTTTTATGATATGAAGTTTTGTTGAATTGTTTTCACTGATCACAAATGACATTTTATTTGAGTTTATAAAATTTGAATATTTATTCTAGATAAAAAAATCGACGAAAGTCATAAGATTTTGGTTTTTAACAGCGATGAATAATTGACTATTACAAGAAGTTTTATTTAATATTTGATATATTTTGTTTTTTTCTTAAATTAATCAGTTTCATTGGAATTTTTCTTCTACAAAAACAAGTATAAAGGTAATAGATTTTTTTTTTCATTATGTTACGAACTTAAAATACATTTTTCAAACATGTGATATAAGTACCGTATTCATATATGAAGGATAATAAAAAAAAAAGGAGAGAAACAAAATAACTCGTTAGTAATCTATAAATTGCAACTGTAAAAGATATTAACACAAAATTTTTTTTGTGAATATTCAATAGAATTCATATAAGTGAATGATACAATATTAATATATATTTAGACGCAGTTTATTCATATATATGAACAATAATTATCTATATTTCGAATATATTTCATATTGTAAATTAATTAATATTATCAGATCATAGTAAGTCATGTAAATTTATTTAAAAACATAGAATAGAGACGTTTTTTTCTCCCATGTATTTTTAAAATGTAATAGAGTCGAATAAACTTTGAAAAACACGCAGTCAGCGGCAGGGCACATTGTTTACTAATTTAGATGTATGGGTGAAGATAAAAAACCCATTGAGATATAATTGTTAGATATAAATACATTTGAACTGTATGCCCTTTCAGTCACTATCCTTCTGTTTTCTTTTTTTGACTATTGTTTCTCTATCCGTTAACGTATACACTAAAAAAAAATACAAAAAGATTACTCATATAAATATATCATTGATTTCAGTATTTTTCTTTTCATATTTGCACGGAAGAACTTTTCAGTAGAAAATATCTTTATACAGTTTAATTTTTTTGACCTCTGAATCATGCAATCTTTACTCTTTACTCGTCGGAATTTTCACCTTGACTATAGTCCAATTTTTATCTGTTCTTATCTTCACTTTTCTTATCACGTTTCTTTAGTAGTCGTTTTATACATACATGTATATGTCGTTGTCTACATATAAAGAGAAGCATACTCCTTATTCTTTTTCACAACAAACTGTGTATATCGTTACGATTTTTTCTAGACTGATATTTTTTTTCTTTGTTATTTATTTAAACAATGCTCAGCTTTCAAACTCTTTCATGTCTTCATGATATACCACGTAAGAAAATTTAGATTTTGATTTGAGTATATTTTTATTATTTCATTATTGAAGTTGTTCGCTCGTCAACTAATAAAATTCAAGATGTGTATGCCAAAGCTAAAGATACAAGTGCATTTATTCGGATTCCATGTAATTTAGCCGAGACAGTTGCTGATAAAACATTAAAAGTTGCTTTTACAATTGCTAATCCCGTTGTTAAACCATTTTCTGGGCCTGGTAAATTTGTTTCAAAAAAATTTTGTTTTTTAATATTTTTATATATATTTTAATAATATAGTATATGCAATTGACAATTATGCTGCTCAAACAATTCGTCAATTTGAATCTAAATACCCTGTGATTACTACACCAACTGAAAATGTTGTAAATACATTCAACGAAACAACAAAACCAGTTCTAGATGCAGTGAATTCAGTTAGGGATACAACAACATCAACAATTCAACATGGCAAAGAAGCGGTAAAAAGAAAAATTTATTTCGATTTATTTATTTATTTTTAATGCTTAGGTTTCGAATGTAGCAACAGCCACAGTAAATAAAGCATCTGGTGTAGCTGATTCTGTATTTTCGTTTTGTGGAACACGTGTACCGGGAAGTACGTAAATAATAATAAATAAGATATTTTTTTATGAAATACTACCTAAAAGGATTGTTGACGTATATAAGGAAGAAATTTACACCTATTTCTTCTGCCCACTGTATGCATCTAGGTAGACATTTGGCTAAAAATGAAATTGGCATGTTTTTTAAGATTTAAATGTAGGAAATTATACTTCGAAATATAGTCTATCTAATGATATGAATAACTTTGTTATAATCCTTAAAGAAACTGAAAAACTAGTTGTCCAAAGATTAGTCTCGACAAACAAATCAAGTATATTTTCTAAATCTTTAAGCCGAGCTCTATACAAGGGTAAAAAATATTTTTTTCTACAGTGTCGTCCAAACAGCTTGTCCCATAAAATGAGCAACTCATCTAAATCTAATGCCCGGACTTTTCCAGAATGTTCCTCTATCTATTGTCTCTAATTTCTGTTAAAGCAAACATTCCTGAACTGCACAGTGAATTTCCAAAAAAATCTAAGATTTTTAGATATTTTCCAGTTTTTTCTATCTTTAGAAAAATATTTAATCAACAAAAATAGTATGTTTAGAATCAGCACATTAAACTGCATCGAATAATATGTAGCACAAAACAATTTTGAACAAAAAAATTTTCGTCGAAAAAATGAGAGCAAGGGTTTCCTCTCAAGCATTTTTTGTCAAAAAACTTTTCTTCCCGAAAAATGTTGTTTTTTTTCTTAAAAATACTTTTCTGTGTTGTATCTAATCATTTCTGAGCAAAGAAATCTGTTTACGAGCAAAAAAGTTACGTGTCCGCCTGCCATACAAAAAATGTACCCTGTGCTTTCTCCTTCCAAAGGATCGTGACAGATAATAAACAAAAAAGTCATCATAGATCTTGCCAGACACTAGAGTAACGGCTTGTTAAAATATATTAACTACTTCATTATTGTATTTCTGAAGGATTAAGTAAAAGAATCGTGAAGAAACGTGTCCTAAGATAGATAGAATAAAATAATCTGTCTGTGATTAGCAACAGCAGCTACATCGTGTTTCACACTTTAATTCGACAGGAATTGCACTTACAGCTTTTTAAATGTCTTTCTAATTTTTCTAGTGCAACGTTCTAATGCTGGTAAAACAAGTAGATTAAGTGAGTACATTTCTTCAACTGTTGATTCATTATGTAATCCTGTATTTCAATCAGTTCAATCATCATTATTATGGTTTCGAATGTTGATTGTAAACTGTATTCTAATTACTAAACAAACTAATGAATCTTTACTTAATAAAATGCAACAAAAACGATTTTTACCTGCTTTACCACAACGATTATTAATTTTAGTTGGTACTTTTTTGGAAAAAGTTATCAGACTAGTTAAACCTAATGATGCTACATTGGCTGAATGGGAAAAAGCTCGACAACAAAATCAATCAAGTTCATTATTAAAATATTTTTTTGATGGGTACGAAAAATGAAACTAATTTTTAAAAACTAACTATTAAATATCTTTTCTATTCTAATAGACAAAGCTTAAAACCTAATCAATCTTCAACAGCTCGTAAAAAAGTTGTTATTAATCAACGAGAAACAGTCGTAAATCGTACAAATGATTACAATCATATTCCAAAGTCACAACCCGATTATTCAAATATGACTGATACAGAAGAATTACATGCTCGTTTAGCTGCAAATGATTTACCTCAATCAAATTATAATATGGACAATCGCATGTTTACCACAGAATCTGTTGATGATATTCCAAATAATGATATTACACAATTACATGATAGTCTTAAACCAACTGATGTTGAACTTCTTTATTCTCGATTACCTACTGATATATTACCAAATATAGATGATCAAGAACCATTAACTGAAGATCAACAACAACTTCATGCTAGAATTATTGGTGCTGCATTAGCAGATCAAGGTTATCCTGTAGATGAAAATGATAATGATGATCGACAGTGAACAAATTTATATGTACTCTGCCTTCGTTTTTTAAGTTATTCATATGTTTTTTTTGTCTTTTCTTGGTTTCACTAACATTTTCTTTTGATTTAGCGTCGTTTTTTTTTGTTTCTTTGTTATTTCGTGTTATTATTGTTGATATTTGTTTCATGTTACTATCAGCGTTATCATTCATTATTCCATGATCTATAGTTGACTTTTCTTTAACAAATGCATATGTGATCAATTATAAAAGATTCTTATTTTTTTTGTGTTTTCGATAAAACGTGTCTACCAACCACAAAATGATTGTGAATCGTATTTTTCATGGATACATCCATAGACAGTTAAACTCAAAAAACATAAGTTTCTCAGAAGATTTTTTTCATCTGTAGAACTTTGTAGGGGGCTCGTTGTGCTGATTAGTTTGGTAAAAAAAAATATTCAAATTTACTTAATAAATCATGATTCTAGGGTCAAAACACTTGGAAAAGGTCAACTACCATTCAGCAACAATCAAGAATTGCCAAAATTTTTGAGTATTTTGGTTCTAGTGCCATGATTTATTGAATGAATATGAATATTTTATTTTACCAAAATGATTAGTGCAATGAATTCTACAACATTCTACAGACGAAAACAAGAATCTTCGGAGATCTTTCTGTTTTTTGTTTTTACAGTTAACTACTCATGGAAGTATCCTTCAAAAATACGATTCATAAGCATTTTGTCGTTTGTAGTATAAAACAAAGTGAAAGAGAGAAAGAAAAGAGAATATGTATACTAACTTACTAGGGAATTCCTCCAGGTGGTGTGTAGTCACTTTTGAATCGAGTCTATGTGCATTATGTAGACCCAAATGATCTATGGGTATCATGAAAAGAATTCGAGCTTACAGAGACAGGTTTTAACGAGAGTAGTTTATTGTATATACGTTATTACTATTGTTATATTGCAGAGTAGGAACCGTGGCAAGATCTGAAACATCTACAAGAAAACCTATTTTCGTTAAGGCCGGTCTCTATGCAAAGTTTCAAGTCGAAATTCGAAAATTAGTTGTCCTGTTACCATCGCATTTATTTAAAACATACTGTAAAAGTGCAGTATCTCAGTAGCAATAAGTTAAGAACATGAACTCTTTTCAGGATATTCATAGCTCATTTGGATCTACATAATACATATAGCCTAGACTCGAAAGCGAGTGAACAGTTGGAGGATTACTTTGGTTGAATGAATTGAATATAGAACTGAAACAAAGAATCTTTATTATATTTCTTATTCCAGATGTCAAATTTACGCAAACAAATTCTTTCTAAGTCGCTTCCACCAATTGGTCCATTATCATCCAAAAAGTTATCATCAGATAATCAAAAAAAATCATCAACTATTCGTAATTATACACCTCTTGAATGGAATACATATTTTAATGATAAACGTTATATAACAATAGATAAAAATAGTTTTTGTTTATATTCACGTAATGCAAATGATTCATCATTACCTGTTTTATTTTTTTTACATGGTGGTGGTTTTTCGGCTTTAAGTTGGGCTGTTATGTCAAAAGCACTAACAAACCTTGTACAATGTCAATGTATTGCTATAGATATTCGTAGTCATGGAGAAACAAAAACTACAGATGATAATGATTTAAGTATTGAAACACTTACAAACGATGTTTGTCAAATTTTATATAATTTATTTAATGAAGATAATAAACCTCCGATTTTTCTCGTTGGACATTCAATGGGTATATTCAAAATAAAGAATTTCAAGATAATTTAATTAAATGTTTATTTATAGGTGGTGCTCTTGCTGTTCATGTTGCGAAAGAATGTCCATCAATGATTGATGCTCTCTGCGTTATTGATGTTGTAGAAGGTGAGAAAACTAGAGTCTTCTGTATGGAGTCAACTAATTTTTTTTTTGTTAAAAATTCAGTTTTAATATATAAACTTTTTTAAATAGTAGGTTTTGTTCTCTAATATTAACTGTACAAACTGATATATTTTTGGAGTCTTCAACGACGTCTTATCAAGATCTACGAACACGAAAGAAAATTGGAGTTGAATTTAATTCCGATTTGGTTTCATGTCTGGATGCCTCTATAAGACATTGTTGGAACTTCTAAAATGTGTCAGTTTGTACAGTGAATATTAAAGGATAAAACTCACTATTTAAAAAAGTTCATAGGAAGAAAAAATTTAGTTGACTCTATGCAGGGCTCTAGAAAGAAAACATTATTTTGGTTTTGAAGAATATTTTTATAATTTGAATTTATAGGCAGTGCACTTGAATCTTTAAGCTCAATGCAATGTTTTCTTAGTTCAAGACCAAAACAATTTTCAACGCCACAACAAGCTATAGAATATATGGTACGAAGTGGACAAGTACGTAATGTTGAATCAGCTCGTGTTTCTGTTATCGGACAAATTCAACCAATGATTACTACTCAATCGAACGAAACAGATTCTTCTTCTACTACAGCATCAAATACTACACTTCCGGCAGTCTCTCATTTATGTGAAACTGTTCGAGAAGAAGACGAAGAAGAAGAAGAAGAAAGTAGTGATGAACATAAAACTTCTGACGATTTTCAACCGCCAGCTACAACAAATGTCTCAAATGATACAAGTAAATATACATGGAGAATTGATCTTTCAAAAACAGAAAAATTTTGGCAAGAATGGTTTTCGGGTTTGTAGAATTGTTTATACGTCTGTGAAAATATTCTTTTGTTGCTTTCATTCTCATAGGTTTATCAAAATTATTTTTATCATGTGAATGTCCAAAGTTACTTTTATTAGCTGGTGTGGATCGTCTTGATCGTGATTTAACTGTTGGTCAGATGCAAGGTAAATTTCAAATGCATGTTGTTCCTAAAAGTGGTCATGCTGTACATGAAGATGCACCTGAACAAGTTGCTGATTGTATTGCTTCATTTCTTGTTCGACATAAGTTAGTACAAGCACACGATGAACATTTTCAAGGAACATTACCTGGATGCTAAAAAAAAAAGAAACAATCTATCAAGCATTTACTCATAAATTTGTATTTTGTTTTTCTCTTGTCTATATCTTTTTTCCTTGCATACTTCAACATTGTAAAAAAAAATGTTTCGTTCTTACTGAACACAAAAAAACGGAAACAATAAATATAAAGAAAATCAAAACGTGACTGTAAAATTCAATAAGTGTTTTTTGTTCGAGAACAAAAAGATAGGTTCTCGTACAAATTTTATATTTTATTTCTATTTGTTCTCTATTAAATAGAATATTTCGTGTTAGTCTTTCTATATCAATTGTAAGTAAAGGATGGACCATAAATAGCACTACAATAAGAAAATGAAATATTTCCGTGTCGATTCAATCATATGAGCTAATTTTTTGGTTAGTAGCAGAAGTTGATTTAAAGATTTGTTTTTCATACAGATGAGGTAAGAAATAATAACGGATGATCGGCAAGTTTTTTTGACCTGCTAGAAAATATTTATGATGAGTTAGGATCGAAATTTTATGTTCTTTTCGAATGTATCCTTAGAAATTTTGTCTTATTTTTTGTTTGAATGTAGTAAAATAAACTTTGAAAAGCTCAAAAAGATTAGTTTCGACGAAAAATTTTTATATTTTCACTATTATGATTCGAAACTAAAAGTTGGAATCTTCATCTATATATCAACTTGTAGATTAAAAGTTACCATATAAAATGCACTATTTCGAGTTTTTTTTTCTTTTTCGGCAAGGCACTTCAATTTTCGTCTTTCCTAGATACTCGTTTTTTAAAAAAATTGTCAATCGTTTTATTTTGAAAGGAGATGCAAGTGAGGTATAGTGAAGTATGAATGACTCGTACTTCACTCATACTTCGAAATACCAAAGTCTTGCTTTTCTCTCTTGTTGTAGTCTCACTTGGGTAAAAGTCACAGATTAGTTCAATATCACATTTTGTAGAGAAGTGTTTACTCTACGAAACGATCAACTCCGACAATTTTTAGCATGCTTGAAAAGGGACGTATAGGGGAAATAAAAATTTGTTGGCTCACCATTAAAAATCATTTGTTAGGTCTTTCAAAAAAGTTCCTCAATATCAGATTGAAACATAAGTTCTGCACGTTTGGATCAATAGAATTATATTGCCAACAGTGGCGGATTTAGGGGGGGGGCGCTTGGGGCGATCGCCCCCATTCGAAACAAAATTTTTTGGATTTTCCCAGCAGAAAAGTCTTAAAAATAGAGTGCATTCTACTACTAATAGACTTCAAAACTTGCTTTTTGATCAAAATCGCCCCATGTCTATCGAATCGCCCCTTATCAAAAAAAATCCTAGATCCGCCGCTGATTGCCAATATAAAACTACTTTTAAGGAAATTAATTATGTATTCTGATAATACTCGGAATTCTCTGTCACTCTGTGTATTTAAGTATTGACTTGCATTTATTTGCTGAAAAATATTTCGAATACAGTGAAGACACCCCCACCCTCAGATCTCCACGAACTCTATTTTTTGTTCTTTTCTCATGTGTTTTTAAAATCTTTATCTATACAGTAATCCGTTTTATAGAAAAGTAATTATATATTCTGAGAGCTCTTGAAATGTTCTATCGCTCTATATATTCAGGTCTTGACTTGAACTTATGTGCTCAGAAATATTTCGAATATTGTCAATGCGGGTGAGAGTGTCTTCACTGTACTCGAAATATTTTTTAGCAAATAAATGCAAGTCAAGACCTAAATACACAGGGTAATAGAGAATTCTGAGCGCTATCAGAATATATAATTACTCTTCTTAAAATGTAGTTTTATATTGGCAATATAATTCTACTGATCCAAACGTGCAGAACTTATGTTCCAACTTTATAGTTCGTTTTGATTTCTTCTTATTGTATTAGATGACAACTGAAAACTATCTATGAAACATCTCATAGATATTTTTCTTATTTGACAATACGTGAAATTTCTTTAGTGAGGATAAAATTAAAACTTGATAGTAGTATGTGTTGACATTATTCGTATGAAAAAAACAACTTTAAATCAATTTCTACCATTAATCAAAAAATCAGTCCATTCGAACAAACTGAAGAGGAAATATTTCAATTTCTTTTTCTTATAGTGCTATTTAACGCTCACCTTATATGTTAGAAACATAATATTATTGTTTTTTTCTACTGTGTTATCGTCATTATTAAAAACTCAGTAGGGATTCTTCGTCATCGTTTTTTCTTTCGTTTAAATTAATGAGCTATTCTACCATAAGAGTATTTTTCATACACTTTCGAAAATGCGTCGTCTCTATTCGTTGTCTAATCGAAATCCTCGTTTACCACCAATTCAAACTTATAATGATGATAGAGATAATGTGCGCACTAAAACAATCGTCCGAAAAACAACTAATAATGTTATTGATAATCGGACTACAGATGTACGTTATGTTGAAACCAATAACGTTTATTTAAATGAAACAGGTCGATGTCCTTATGTTCGTTTTCCTTGGTGGCTTTGGCTTTTATTAGCTTTAGGTTTACTTAGTTTATTAGGTTTAGCATTAGGATTAGGCCTTGGATTAGGACTTCGAAGACCATCAATAAATTCTCGTTGTACAAGTAATAATTGTCCAGCAAATTCTCAATGTATTAATAATCGTTGTGAATGTGATTCGGGTTATTTTTATGATTATTCAATATCAGCTTGTACTGCTTATCTTCATGTTGGTATGACTTGCTCAACAAGTATTACAACTCAACAATGTATAACAAATGCTTATTGTGCATCAAATGGTTATTGTATTTGTGACACTGGTTATTTTCTTGATCAAGTTAGTGATTAAAAATTTTTTCAAATATAAATCTTTTAATTTTTCTCTTGTAATTTATATAGAATAATGGTGTATGTACACTACTTTTAGCTCGTTATGTCCCATGTGCTAACGATGATCAATGTCAAACACCGTTTGTATGTAAAGTTAGTTTATGTGATTGTAATCAAACATCATATTATGATTCTGGTTCAAATACATGTAAACGTTTAGGATATGTTAATGAACCATGTTCAATAAATTCACAATGTGTACGAACAGCTAATTGTTCAACAACAACATGTCAATGTGCATCAGATCATTATTTTGATTCAACTGAATATCAATGTGTTCGTAAACAATTTATAGGTCAAACATGTACACTAGGTTATCAATGTATTACTAATGCAAATTGTACATCAGTGTCACCATTTTCAAATCAATGTGAATGCAATTCTGGTTTATATTATGATACAACAACAGGAACTTGTACAACACAATTAACATTTGGTACAATATGTACATCAACTTCTCAATGTATTAATAATCTTCTTTGTCTTGATGATCCAACAGTAGCTGGTGTCACTTTTCAATGTTTATGTTTAACTTCACAATTTTATTTATCAACAAATCAAACTTGTATCTCATTAGGAACTTATGGTGATGCATGTAATACTGGTGGAAGACCATGTGAAACACGTTATGGTAAGAAAATGCGTAAAAGTTTTTTTTTTCTATTATTCGATTCAATGTATTAATTTTACAAGAAACTTGTATTCAAGAATAAATATTAGTATAAATAAAGAACAAAAAATGAGATAAAAATCATATTCTTGAATTCTTTTATGTGAGACTAATGAATAACAAAGATTATTTTGAAAATACAATCTAACAATGGAAGACCACGTACTTCCAGTGAAGGAGATTGAACATATTCGGGTCAACTAAATGCTCTTACCGCCAAACTAACAGATTTAAAATATTACGTGCCCATGGCGTACCTAGAGCAAGTTACGTAAATTTCAAGACATGTGATATTTAGGTATAAAAATGAATCCTGAAAGGTGGACTCCACTAGTGTCAGGACAAAACATGATGTTATTCGGGTCACATGAAAGAAGGCCCTCCAAATTCCTTAGTCGATCTGAACAACACTATGTTCTGTCCTTACAATAGCGGAGGAAATTTTTCCTGATTCATTTTTGTACCTAAATTTCACATACCTTGAAATTTAAGTAGCTTGCTTTAGGTACTCTATGGGCACGTCATATTTTAAATTTGTTAGTTTAGTGGTGAGAGGTTCCATTTGACCCGAATATGTTCAATCTCCTTCACTGGCAGTACGCGACCTTTCATTGGAAATCATAATTTAATTAAAATAGGTCTCAGTTGTTCGACAACTACATCAACATGTCAATGTAGTTCAATAAATTATTGGAATGGTTCAAATTGTGTTGCTTTACGTTATCCGGGTCAAACATGTACATCATCATCTCAATGTATTAATGCTTCTTCATGTATATCTTCGATATGTCAATGTAATACGAATTATTATTATTCAAGATTAACAGGGCAATGTCAACCTCAATTAGCTTATTTATCAACATGTACTTTAGGAAATTATCAATGTCTTAATAATACATCATGCTATGATTTAACAACATCAGCAACAGGTGCATGTACATGTGATTCAACATATTATTATTATGATGGTACAAGTTGTACTCTTTATGCAACATATGGTCAAACATGTGCTGCTGCAACATATGGACCATTTTGTGATTCAATAACACGTTCACTGGTTTGTATAGGTACACAATGTACTTGTTTATCAACAGCTTATTATAATGGTTCAAGTTGTGTTGCATATACATCTGTTGGTTTTTCATGTACAACATCATCTCAATGTGTAACAAATGCTTATTGTTCATCAGGAATATGTACTTGTTTAAGTTCATATTATTTTAATATAACATCAGGCACTTGTAGTGCTCTATTAACTTTTGGACAAGCATGTACATCATCAATTCAATGTCCAACAAATATGATATGTACGTCATCTCAATGTCTATGTACATCTACGACTTATTATAGTAGTCCGAATTGTGTATCTCGTATATCATATGGTGGTGCATGTAGTTCAACAATTCTTTGTGATAGTACTCTTGGTCTTGTATGTACTTCATCTGTATGTATATGTAATAGTACACAATATTGGTCAACATTATCCAATGGTACACAAATATGTGCTAATTTACGTACACTTGGGCAATCATGTACAACTTCGACGAACTGTGTAAATTCAGCAACATCAGTAAAATGTGTATCAAATATTTGTGAATGTGATTCAAGTGGATTTTATCTGGATCAATCAACAGTGACATGCCAACCACTCAAAGCTGTTGGTGTAGCATGTACTGCGACATTTAATTTTCAATGTGCTAGTTTTAATTGTAATGCGTCAAATGTATGCGGTGATACAATATCATCGACTATAATGAGTAATGTTACACAATCATCATCAGGAATTTCTTTTAGACGATCTCATACAATTATATGTTTATTTATAAATATTATTCAATTTTTTTTCTTTGAATTTTAATTATTACTTTGTAATTTTTTTTTTCTTTCAATTTAAAAATATATATATGAGTGATGAAATAATGATTTGATGTTTATGATTAAAGTTTATTACGATAACTCAAACAAATCAGAAGAAGAGAGACGTTTGTTTCTTATATTGTCACAGCTAATATTTTGTTTTTCTATTTCATACTTATATATACAAATTCATTTATCTTGTTTCTTTCTTATTATTGAACATAGAGTTAGAATTTTGTAAGTTTTACTTAACATGAGACAATAATGATTATTGTTATTGATGAAATTTAGTCAACAATCATAAAGAAAAATAATTCCATATATATGTTCTAATGATTATCTTTTTGGATAGATTTATTGTACGATGGAGAATTATGTGAGTGCTCTTTAAATATTTATTGAAATCAAATAGTAAAAGTGGAAAAAAATATTTGTATTTCATTTTATACTAAACGTGATTAATGTTGAGAATAGGATTTAATATACAACAGGATAGGTATGAACTAAAACACGTAGTAAATAAAGCTAGAATCGTTTTGATTATGTCATCAGCTTGAAAAAAAATCAACAAAATACTTTAGAAATAGTTTAATAAATTCTATTTTACAAATACGTTTTCATTTTTTAAATGTAGTTGATAGTAACAATAGACTAAAATTTTTTATCAGTCTTTTCATTTCATGCATTGATTATATTAAATTTTTTATGAGAACTTTATATTACACAATTTTTATCCTATTTAACTAGAAACTTTGCAATATGATTTGCAAATTGTGAACCCATGAGAAACAAACTACCACGGCATTAGCATCCAACGTTATATGGTTTTATTTTCTCTTAAGCTTTTCTGGAAGTTATACATTTAAAGAAATTTATTTTGGTCAACGTTTTAAAGAACAATCTAACAAATACTGCATTTAGTCTTCTATTTGTTTAATATTATAACAACGCGCGAACCAAAAGTTTTCAGACAAAATGTTTACTGATTTTTCGCCTATGTGGAAGTATGTCAGATGAATCAAAAACTATGGGGCATAACTGGATTTTGCACTCTTTCCGAATATGTATTCAGAAATATTGTATCTGCTATTGCACGAAAGAAGTGGAAGAATCTTTGAAAGACATAAAAAAATGGTTTGGATGAAACGGTTGAATTGAAGCTTCTGGTCAATATTTTGTTTATTTTTGATCTACTTGAAAGAATTCTAGATGAATAAAAACAGTTGATTAGGGTCAGGATTTCATGCTCTTTCAAAACATAGGTTTAGAAATTTCGTATCTGTTTTCGTTCGACAGTAAAGAGAAAATTTTCAAACATTCTAAAAAAAATTGGTTTGTGCGGCGAACAAACATATATTTGCTACTTCGTAGTATTTGATTGACCAGATGCACGTTCAAATACAACTTTTCGTTTATCTGGCTGATTATTGACTAAAGCATGAAGACCTTCTATTTTATGGATATCGCCATAAGTAATACAAATTAGTTCTTTCGGTTGTTTTTCAGAGGTTTTACTTGGGGTCACCTTTTTTGTTATTAAGAACAGCTTTATCTGTGCCACTATTTACAACAATTTTTATCTTTTCAATTGTTTCATCTATTTGCTCGAGTAAATCAGTGACAGTTACTATGTTTGAAAGATAATGAAATGATAAAAATGATGAAATTAAGAGTGAATTATAAATTTTCGAACCATCAAATGGAACATGAAGTTTGTCCTCTCGATTTCCCTCAACCCCTAGTTTATTGTCCGCATCAACGCTACTCAGAGCATTATTTGGATTTTTTTTCTGGCTGCTTTGAACTATTACTTAGGGGTATCCGAAAGTAGTGGCAACGACATTTTAGTACCACTTAGTAAGCTTGATAAAAGTTTCTTTTTACACAGGATGATAGAGAAAAAAATTCTCTTTCTTTCTATGCTATTTGATCATACTTCACATAATATAATGGTAATAAATTTCCAGTAAGATTCGTTTCCTTATCATTCGTGCCCGTTTTAAGTTTGCATTGCAGTTTTCAATTTTTTTATGTGCGGTATTAAGAAGCAGAGTATACTAAAAGATGCAGCGTGAAAAACTCTACAATTCACATATTACTACGTATTTTATAGTTGCACTTTATGTGTTTAGAATGGACAAACTTTTAGCGCTCAAGCGTCTATCATGGGGAAAAGATAACTTTTTTGATACATAACGAATTCATTTTTTGTTATGTCATCGTTCGATTACGAAAATGCTTTATCAGAAGAAAATTAAAACACACACAAGATGCAGCGTGAAAAGCTGTACAATCTTCACAGTAAAACTGATTGTAATTGCTTTCAAAAAGAGCACATTTCTATGCGATCAATCTTTGCAATGCTCAAAATCTGATCTCTCAAAATTTTGTCCACTTTGAAAACAAAAAGTACAACTATGGAATAAGTGCTCTTATGTAAATTGTAGAGCTTTTCGTGCTGCATCTTACGGTATGTTTCGATCATTGATGCAATGTATTAAGGGACGGAAAATGAACCTGTCTTACCCGTTATAAACCAGTATAACGGGCACGAATGATAACGAAACGAATCTTACTGGAAATTTATTACCATTATATTATGTGAAGTATGATCAAATAGCATAGAAAGAAAGAGAATTTTTTTCTCTATCATCCTGTGTAAAAAGAAACTTTTATCAAGCTTACTAAGTGGTACTAAAATGTCGTTGCCACTACTTTTGGATACCCCTAAGTATGACAAAGTTACGGATAATTTTAAAATGTAAGATTATTATCATTTCTTTATGAATTAAAGTACGGTAACAAGCAAGTTCAGTACTCGTTTGATGTTAAAAAAATGATTATTTGATGATGGAAAAGGAGCTGAAAAAGTTTTACTCAGCCAACTTTTCTCATTTTGAATAAGATTATTTTCATAGATTCTTCAAAACTTATCATTGTTATCATCGAATGAAATGTTTGAACAATTAATGTCTATCATGATATTTTTCATTTGATGTTACAGAAGAATCAAGTCCAACTGCTATATCTTAACTATTATATAACAAGAAAGCTTTTCTATTGTAGAAAACGATGAAAGAAAAAAAAACTAGAAATTAGAACAAGGATTAATGGAACTTGCTTAAGATCTTTTTCAATAAAGGACGAGAGACAGAACAACGAAGCAAAAATAATAATAATAATAAACAAAAAAAAAACACAATAAGAACACTATTTGTCTTTATTATATTGTTCATAAGCAAAAGCAGCTGCTGAATGTGCATCGATTTCTTCGGTTTGACAGTTGAATACTCTTGATAATTCAATAAAAAATTCTCGAGTATCAACTTCCATATCCGATGGAAGGTACAATCGATAAAGTCGAGGAAGATGAATTTTTTCTGATAATTCACCATAAAGAAGAACGTTATTTAACTTATGTGGAAATTCACATCGAATACCCATTGTTGATTTGATGTACTGCCAAACAGATTCTTCTTTTCGAAGAACATTTTCGATTGAAGATTTGGATGGATTGGCTTTTTTTTTCCCAGCTGAATTGAAATATGTGGGAAAGTACTTCATGGTATATGAAGTGGAATTAATCGAGTCACGTAAAGATAGTTCATCAACTACACGTAGAAAAAAAAGTTCCAAAAGAAATCTTTGTGAAACTGAAAAATGGAAAAACATACTTTTTCTTTCAATCAAGAAATAGAGAATAAAAGGTGGCACATTACTATTACTTTTTATTAGTATTACTCGGTAATTGGTAATAGTTATTATTACTTTTCATCAGTAATTGCTTTCTTCTTATCATTCTAATGCCAGTATGATGCATTGATTACTTCTATGTATTAAAATACGGAGAATTATTTTATAAATTTATTACTATAACTTTTATTACTTTCAAATTTTTATTTCTTATTACCAATAATGAAGTAATAAAATTTGTAAAGGAATAAAGGTAATTAGTAAGAACGAGTAAAACTTATTACTGTAATAAAATAATAATAAAACAATAAATACAATATAACATATATAAGAGCGTATGGTTCCTTTCTACATTATGTCAAATGTGAGTGTCTCTAATCGAGTGAAAGGCTAAATGGTTTGCGATTATATATTAAACAAAAAAACCAGCCGTTAAAATATGCACGGGCTCTCGCCAATCTAGCCATAATGTCTTAATCAAGAAATAGGAACAGACTAAATGATTAAAAGTAATTTTATTGTCTTATTTGTATATTACTTATTACATTCTTATTACTTTATTACTTTTATTGATGGTTATTAGTCGTAATTAGTAATAACAGCTATTACTCTTATTCCTTTATTACTTTTCCAAATTATTACTTATTATTATTAATAGAAATGTGCCACCAGTATGAAAAACTAACCTTCTGAGAAAGACCACTTGACATAATCAATCTCATTCTTGTATTTAAATTGCATTTTCATAATTTCATCACTGTGCTTCAATTCCATTTGCATATATTCATAAAGCATGTTGTGTTGAATACTAGTAAGAAAAAGAATTCCATCAATTCCAATTGATGAAGACTTTGATTGGATAAAATTATTTATTTGTTTGACTGTTTTATCATATGTATCCGACCATAAATATTTCGATTGACGATTAATCTAGAACATAGACAAGCATGAAGTGTTCATATTAAAATTAATTAATTTCTTTTTTATACTCACGTTGTTTATTAATTGTGAATTTGTTGTTGATGGACCTGAAGAAAATTTACTTTTGATAGAGTAAAATACAAATGTTGAATTCTACCATTATGAGATGTATTTCTTCCATGAATCAATTTTATTCTTGATCTAATTGGAGCTGTTGTACGACAACCAGAGATGGAACCGGTCCACTTTTTTCCAGACCGGTACCGGTGCGGGTCTGGAGAAAGGTAGACCGGACCGGACCGGCCGGTATACCGGTCAAGGGGGAAACAGCTGATTTTTTTGATTTAAATCAGAAAAAAAATCAAAAAAATCAGAAAAATCAACAAAAATCAAAAAAATCTTTAATCTCTGTTGTTCAAAACATCAATCAAGGGTGGAGCAACTGAAATTAGATTTCATTGATATTTTTGATTTTGTTGATTTTTTGTTTGATTTTTCTGATTTCTGTTTTGATTTTTTTGTTTTCTTTTCGCATTTTTTTGATTTAAAATCAATTGATTTAAATCAAAAAAAAATCAAAAAATCAAAAGAATCTGACTTTAGCTGTTTTCCCCTTGCTACCGATCCATACCGGTCTAAACCGGTCTGACTGGTCCAAACCGATCTACCGATAGTGACAGGATACTGATGATACGCTAGTTTATCAGGAAAACCCGACCTATCGATAAAATATCGATCTACAGACAACAGGCTGAAGCTTAAAATGAAATCTTCTTGTGAACTCTCTGGTGCGTTACCTTCATACCTTGAATGCAATCATAGAGCAGGAAAGTGAAAAATATAGATCAGTATACATCGGTTTGAACCGGTCAGACCGGTCTGGACCGGTTTAGGCCGGTAGACCGGTATGGACCGGTAGACCGGTAGACCTGTCGATCCAAAACCCAGACCGGTACCGGACCGGACCGGACCGGCCGGTAACCGGTACCGGTTCCATCTCTGACGACAACCAACTCGAAGAACAACTATGATAAAAAAAGAGACTTGTTTAGAAGCAAGGAAACAAAAAAAAAAAAGAAAATAGAAGTAAATGCTACCTGTGAACATTTGTATTTAAAACAAATACAATGATTAACGAAAATCGATGGACTAGAAATAAGACAATCTAAAATAAGAGATATTCAATTCGAATGATTAACTGTCCCGAAAGAACATAGATGATGAATTATCGGAGAACTGTGACATGAGCATCAACAAAAAATACAAATATCTGTGTTACTACAACTGACTATATGTTGAAGAAAAAAAAGCGAATAATGATTACGTATATTCTGTTTTAAAGGAGAAGAAAGAAAAGGAGATTTTTGTGGAAATAATAAATAGATAGACTGACATACAATGCTTAAGAAAGAGTGATCAAATACACACATATATATATATATATATAAAGAAAACAGTAAATAACAAAATGTATACATTTTTTGAATCATATGGAATGAGCTTCAATTTTTGATATTTATTCAAAAAAAAATTAGTTTATATAAAGAAGAGAAAGAGTATCCATCTAAAATGGACAAAAAGACATCATTTCACCTAATAATTTATTTTTATTTATTTCAATTATTTGTTTTTTTTTTGTTCGGGTCTAAACACATAACAATAATTTATATACAACATGGACAAACAAAAAACAAAACATGTAATATGTATCTACAAAACCCATGATGTCATATTTATTTAACCACGTCTATTTGCAATATTTTCTCTTTCATCAAATTGATTTAAATCTAATGTAAAACAATAACTAGTAATACAATCGCCGGGCTAGAAAATAAAATTTATTTAAAACCATTTGAATAAAAATAAAAATTTGTTAATATACTTTTGGAAAAATAGCAATAAGTGCACCAGCACGTGAATAAAATTGTTCTTTAAGTGATATAACAATACATTGAAATTTTGATGCCGATTGTTCACGAATAAAATCAGCTACTTTACAAATATTTGTATTATCAAGAGCAACATCAACTTCATCAAGCAAAAAGAGTGGAGCTGATTTAAAACTAAAACAAAAACAAACAAATAAATCGAATTGAATCAAAAGTTTTTTGAAATAATTACCTTTGGTAAAGCAAACAAAAGACAAATAGCAGCAACAGTTTTTTCTCCACTAGATAAATTTTCCATAGCTTGAAAACATTTACCAGGTGCAGTACAATTATATGTAATACCATCACAATATGAATCTTCA